GTAGGTTATACGGTACTCCCGGTACGTTAGGTGTACCCGTAGTACGTAGTAGTAGTAGTAGTCGTCGTGTGTAGTGTCGTACGTAGTACGTACGTACGTACGTACGTACGTACGTAGTAGTAGTAGTACGTACGTACGTACGTAGTAGTACGTACGTACGTACGTACGTACGTACGTACGTACTACGTACGTAGTACCGTTCGGTACTCGGTCTACGTCTACGGTACTAAGCTACGAGTACCGTAGTACGTAGTACTACGTCGTACGTGTACGTACGTAGGTACGTACGTTACGTACGTACGTACGTACGTACGTTACGTACGTACGTACGTACGTAACGTACGTACGTACGTACGTAGTACGTACGTAGTACGTACGTACGTACGTAGTACGTACGTACGTAGTGTAGTGTAGTGTAGTGTGTGTGTGTGTGTGTGTGTGTGTGTGTGTGTGTGTGTGTGTGTGTGTGTGTGTGTGTGTGTGTGTGTGTTTTAAAGGTTAAATAGGTTTGCAAAATGGTGTGATGATCAATGTTTAATTACTTGTTGAAACCGTTGAAACCCTAAGAAGTTATATTAAAGATTGGTGAAAGTTACTGCACAAGAAAATATTTCATATTCATATATCATGCAGATTATGTATCATGCAGATTATGTATCCAGCCAAACTAAACTAAACTCAGGCCAAGAACAACAAAGTTATGCTTCTTTGAACAGAGGAGAAGGGTGTGTTAGGGTTGGTACAGTATAATTATTATTTGCAAAGACAGAAAAATAATAAGATACATTAATCATTAAATCTATAATTTTTGTAAAACGTAAGTACGCTTTGGAAGAGCATTTTATTAGTTTTATATTAGTTATACCCTGGACTAATGGCATAACAGGCTTAAACCTAGGGCTGGCTTCTACATTTTCTATTTTCTATTTTCCACCAGATTGAGATACGTTTTCCCAGAGGGGCAAATACATGCCATTTGCACAACAAAATAAAAGTGCTTTATCCATGTTCCTAATCAATGACATGTCACAGACTGTGAAAAAAAATAACACCACCCTAGCCTTCCGTTTTTACGTAAAAAAATGACTGTGGCGTTATGTTAAGAAAGCGTTTTTATTTTTTTTATGGCCATTAAACATCATAGTGATTACTTTAAAGTGAGGTACAGCTTTAAATGTTTATCTTGAGGCTTATAGTGGAATACCCTGCAAGTGCTGCATTCTAAATGTTATTTAAGTACAGGTACAAAAGTAATGGCGTAAAAATATACTTAAAGTATGTAAAGTATAAGAACTTGTTTTGCAGATTTGCCCATTTCAGAATAATATTATATGCTTTGATCATAATTATTGATGCAAAGATGATGAAGGTGCAGCAAATTCCTGGGTAACTTGTGGATTTACTCCAAGTGTAACTAAAGTCTTATTTAAGTGTTTATTAAATTAATTAATTTAATTACATTTATGTCATTAAATTAATCCGAATCTGAAAAGTAATTAAAGGTATAAAAGTACACAATATACCTCTGGATTGTAGTAAATAGTATTAGAAACACTCAAGTAAAGTAGAAGTCCTTCAAAAATGGTACTTAAGTACAGTACTTGAGTAAATAATCTACAATTAGTTACAATACCACTGATAGCAAAGCAGTATAGTCCCCCTCGTTGTCCAGACGGGGGTGCTGAGCTGAAGCCTTCAATGAGCCTCAGCACAGTATGGCCTCAGCACGGAATCCTTTATTTTGCTGAGCTGTTAGCTACGTTTCCTTCCCACTAGTTTTATATCAGAAACCAGCAGCATAAACAAACTAGCATTAGCAGGAAAGGCTAATTATTTACGGAGCTAGCTTAAAGAAAAGGGCTACTCAATGTTTCGCTTGAGTTCAGACACTCTCAGTATACAGTGAGTAAAGTTACCACGGTTAATGTTTACGCTGCCTGGACATGGACGAGCCGGACACCGCAGCGATTCTTCCCGGGGACGTTCTCACCGCCAGGGACGAGGAGACACACGACTCTGGGGACCAAAAACATGAGGCCAAAGTAGCGAGCACCGGCTTCTTACGACCACCGTTTAGGTTTACATGCCCGGTGTCTGTAGAGCCGGTGCTGTTCCTCTCCATGTTTTCTCTAGCCCTGCAGGCGCCTCTGTCCACTCAGTACCTGTGGGACCGCATCAGCGAGGACCTCGGCTACAACGGCTCCAAGAGGTCGGGGTGCAGCAACGGCTCCGTGCCCCCCGACCCGCTGCAAACGGTAATGTCTTTAAACGGTTACTCAGCGGTAGTTAACGTCTTTTAACCGTTACTCATATTAAAAATAAAAATAAACTCAGTAAAAATTGTCTTTAATGGCAGTGGCAGTACATAAAATCGTGACATGGACTGAGGTTTACATTAGGGAATAACTATAACATTCACTTTATTGGTTTATTTAAAGGAAGTGTGGGCAAATGCTATTTTCCTCTATAATCCCAGCACAGGTGTTACTTGGTCACACTTAATGGTCAAAATAAGAATGTAAATAGGCAGTAATAAACGTGCTATTTACTAGAACCCTAATGATGTGTTGTAATTAAGAACACAATACAATTAGAATGCAAAGGAAATGGGATTATGGGTTACAAACAGTAACATGAGTCCCTTTGTTTGCTGATGAGTGTAGTTAACCAGGTCCCATTTTTCTTTTTCTGCAGGAGGTGGAAATCTTGACTGCCCACTGGAACCTGTACATCAGTCTTGGGGGATTTTCTGTAGGCCTGTTTGTGGTGCCTCTGCTGGGCTCATGGAGCGACCTCGCTGGTCGAAGACCCGTCCTCATCCTCCCAAACATTGGCCTGGCCCTCCAAGCGGTGGTTTACCTGGTGGTGATGTACCTGAAGCTGCCAGTGGGCTACTTTCTAGTTGGCAGGCTGCTAAGCGGCCTTTCCGGGGATTTCAACGCCATCCTGGCAGGCTGCTTTGCATATGTGGCTGATACCAGCGACAGAAAGTCCCGCACCATCAGGGTGGCAATCTTGGAGGCTTGTCTGGGCCTTTCAGGGATGCTAGCCAGCATCATCGGAGGGCAGTGGCGGCGGGCACAGGGGTAAGAAATCTGTGTTGTTACTAATGATTGGACCATCTAGGATTGAATGCAGATAAAAATGCACAATCAAAAATCAATAGGTTTATCATGGTGAGTTTCCATTATAGTAATAATCATCGCAATATTTGTGGAAAGGATAATTGTGAAATTTTATTTTTCAATTGTCACAGTATACAAAGAAGTATCATTCACAACAATTGACTTTCTTTCAAAATCAAATCTATTTAGATTGACATTCATTTCCATTATATTTGTACCTCTGTTTTTAGGTACATCAATCCCTTCTGGCTCGTCCTGGCCACAAACTTGGCCTCGGCTCTGTACGCTTACCTGTTCGTCCGTGACTCGGTCGTGCCTGACCCCAGTGCCAAGCTCCTCACTTCCCACCACTATAAAGCTATCTGGCACCTCTTCTCAACAGGAGGCAGTACCAGTGACGCCGGCGGGACATTTCACAGATGCAAGCTATGGCTTTACATGCTGTGTTTCTTTCTGGTGGTGACCGTACACTTCGGCAGCAGGGAGTTATACGTGTTGTTTGAGCTGAGCTCCCCGCTCTGCTGGGGGTCGGCCCTCATTGGCTACGGATCAGCAGCTCAGAACCTGGCCTACCTCAGCAGTCTGCTGGGGCTGAAGATCATGCAGCGCTGCCTGGAAGACTCCTGGGTGGCTCTCGTGGGTCTGGCCTCCAACGTCATCGGGCTGGTGGTGTTCTCTGTCGCTGACACCACACAGCTCATGTTCACAGGTGAGAGAATCTGAAGTGAGGGGGACGATTTTGTTCTTGTTTTTCTATCTAAAATATTTTCTATTCTTGAACGAAATGAAGCAAAGAAATTAGTATTTATCAAACATATTTATCCTTTAACATGGCATGAAGACATGATGTCGAGGACTACAAATCTATTTTAGGATTATCCATCACAGAAAAATAGTAGATTCAGTATCAGAGTGCAGCATGTAGTAGATTGCATGAATAATTAACATCATCTATAAAAGTTTACCCATGCAATGTAATGTGGATCTCAAGGATACTAAAATGGTTGCACAATACTGTACCGCCATTTATGACAGAATAAGAACATACAGGAAGGATACATACATAAAAATGATGGAACATCATTTAAAACATTATCAATCATTGTGTTGTCCCCATTTCACAATGGACAGTATAACTTTTTAGCTGACACTGTTGGAGGTCTTTATTGTGCATCAAAGTTCAAATGTGTTTCTGTCACCAGGTTACGGTCTGTGTTTCCTGTTCATGGCTGCGACGCCTGTGCTCAGGTCAAAGCTGTCCAAGTTGGTCGGCCAATCAGAACAAGGTCAGTCACTAAACATGCATAAATCATACTTGTGTTTTTAAACAGGTGGATTTAACAAGGCAAACTGTAACGATTTCAAGATGTGATGATTGTTTTGAAGTCTATTGTTTTGTTCACCTTTTTGTAATTGCACCAAATTGCTATTCTACAGTCTGGTTTAACTTGAACTGTTGTATTCATCAATAGTGTTTTTACTTTCCCCAGGCGCCCTGTTTGCCTCTGTTGCCTGTGTGGAGAGCTTGTGTTCCCTGGTGGGCAGTGGCCTTTTTAACTCCCTGTACCCAGCCACGCTGCACTTCATGAAGGGCTTCCCCTTCCTTTTTGCTGCCATCATCCTCTTCATCCCTGCTGGAATAATCGGGTGAGTGTTGCCTTATTGAACTTTCTTTGGCTTTTTCTATTAGTGAATTGTAGTCATAAAAGCAATTGTGACCAAAAAGCATATGACAAAAGAATAATTCCCACTTTGCAAAATTAGTCATTCACCATTTCCATGTGTGTTTTTGTAGGACCCTGCAATGTTTGGACCAGAGGAGAGAAAACAGAGACTCCACAGCATCCTGACCTGAGGAGAAGCAGAGGGCAGGAACGTGTCAGAGAGCTAATGTTTGTCCTGGTGTCAGTCTATGAGGTGAGCAGCTCTGACATGCATCTGTCCATCAGTGGTGCTGGGAGAGACTTTAATCTCAACAGTGATAGGGTAGCTGACTGTTTTTTAACTGGCTCAATGGAGGAATTCTTACTAGTGTCACCAAAGGGATCAAGACTTTAGGATGAAGAATCAACCTCCTGGCTGAAATGACTTTAAAACCGCCACAAAGTGGGGAGGGGGATTTGTTAAATCTCTGCTGGCCCTTAAAACTAACCAGTCTTCTGATGTTTCAACATGACATTTATACAAATGGTGAACAGAACAAGGTTCGTAGCACGTTTTATTTTGTGATTCTATATATTTTAAATGCAGTGTAATGTGTGCCAATGAAAATGCCTTATATTTAAATTAGAATGTATTAATACACACAATAGCTTAAGTGTTACGGTTGAGTGAAAGAAGCAGGACCCAAATACAGATAACTCTGATTAACCTTTATTTCAAGGATAAAAAGAAAATAACTTGGACAAAAAACAGAACACTCACCGGTGAACTCGAATGAGTTCACCGGTGAGTGTTCTGTTTTTTGTCCAAGTTATTTTCTTTTTATCCTTGAAATAAAGGTTAATCAGAGTTATCTGTATTTGGGTCCTGCTTCTTNTGTGTGTGTGTGTGTGTGTGTGTGTGTGTGTGTGTGTGTGTGTGTGCAAGTGGGTACCATTGTACAAACACACTGTGAAATAGTTACATTTTGCAGTTTCTGTGTCTCTCATGCAATCAGCTAATACACAAAGCAGAAGCAAGGAAGAGCATGCATATTTATGAACAGACACATAATGAAAATCAAAACAGAGTTTTCCTGGGGAAGAACACAAAAATGCACAAACATGAATAGAAGTGGACACACACACACACACACACACACACACACACACACACACACACACACACACACACACACACACACACTCACACAGGGTGGTTTAGTGCATGACAGTGTGATAGATGGTGAGGAATGAAGGACACAGACCATGTTCTTTTCTGCTGGCTGCCTGTCTGTGTGTCATCAGTCCCAGATTTTAGAAACCACAGGGTCCTAAAAAATAAACAATTTGGGGTTCATTTGTAACTTTGTCCACATGCCATTGACATCCCCAAAGCCTTGCTGGGAAAGTGAGTTTCTTCAAGTTGTTAAATGCTTTTGGAATGGTTACAAAAATCACAGTGATTCAGTGTTTATATTTGTTAATGTGTTTGAGTAGGACACTGAGCAGAAATGTGAACATGATGATTATTCCATTAACAAAACTTAATTTAAGAACAGATCTTACGACAATTTGTGAGGTTGGTATTTCACAATTCCTGTACCTTGGGTTAGTCAAAATTACGCTACTTTTCCTCCGGAGGCTTTTGGGACACATGACAAAACTGAATAAGTCATTCAATAGTTCAGTAAAATCAAATCAATAATCAGATTGGATTTATTGTCAAACTGATCATGCACTTAACCTATGATTCAAACTATAAATGGTATGTTTAAAATAATAAAGCACACAACCACACATCACACAAAATCCTCAGGTGCTAAGCAAATATAACCCAAATGGAAATTTGACTTGGACTGCGTCTATATGTCTTTAATGAAATAGTGTCCTGCCATATCGTCACTACAATTAATTAAAGACATAATGACACATTTAGAACAGATTTTTTGTCACTTTTGCCTGATCTGGAGTATTTATTATTTACTAAGTCTCTTAATGTGACTTTAATATTCTTGAAATGTTTTGCAAAGAACACAGTGCACAATGTACTGTTAACAAGCTGTTTAGATGATGATTTCTTTATGTGTCATATTGAAAAAAAATCTGAAAACACCTTTTGCAAATCTAGAGGCTAGACTTATACACTTTTTGTTAGGCTAGACTAACAAAGCCATCCCACAATCTTGAAATTCCCCTTTTTGCTTAAGGTCGCCTCCCAAGGGAGGACTCGAATCAGAGAAATAACAGCTTCACTCAGACTTCAACATGAGCCAATGTTTCTACACATGGTCAGATGAATGACCCACCTGCTTGAATATCTTTGTTCAATTCTCTTGTGGAAAGACCTCATTCGATAAATTCTGTTTCTACATACATTTGAGCTCCAAAAAGAAGGCCGTTTTGTATCGTGTTTTTCATTTGCATTGACAGTTCTTGCTTTACAAAGAAATTCTTAATTCACAAAATTGGCCTTTGTATATTAATTACTTACTTCATGCTATATTGAATTCTTGAAGGAAAAATGTATCTTTTACCACGCATGCCTCCACGGTGAATGAAAATGAAAGAAAACGAGAAAGTTCTCGATTAATTGAAGAAAACAGGGGCGGCGTTTAACAACAGAAAAATACATTAAAAACATCTGCAGTCGTGTAATTGAATCCAAGTCTCATTCATCAGGTCATTGTTAAATCCAGCCCCCATTTACCTCAGTTTATCAACAATGTTCTCGGTTTCTTTGATTCTTTGTTTACTGGGAGAAAGCATGTGAGAACAACACATTTTTCTTTAAGAATTGAAGGTATAGCACAGGATCATTTGTAAGTGATGGTCATTTTGTGGGTGAAGTATTCTTTTAATAACAGCTGAAATGCTTGTACTTGATGTCCTCCAGTGGTGCAGAAGTGTTATCAGGCATGAGACAATAAATCATCACTGGGTGTACTCCAAGATGCACACCCAACAGTGATGCTGTGTTTAAGTTAATCTTAAATAAGTGGTTGAGTCAGATGGTGGAAAAGTCATTATAATGTTTATCTGTAAAACACAGCAAAGAGGTAAAACTCATAGTTCACTTGGCATGTTATCCAGACTCAGATATTTATCTGATGATTAGGCCGGCTTTGCAAGGCTAAGACAGGTCTCAAGCAGAAGCAGACACGATTGGGGATAAACTATCAAGCAACAGTCAGCTTCTTTTTGAGATTAAGCATCATTTCCCTTTAAACATCGCCATTACAGGACCTGTCACCTCAAGATCCTCTCTGTGTGATCGGTCTCTGTCTTCAAAGTCTCTGGTTCTGCGTCGAGCCTCTTCAAAGGCTGCCTGGGCCAAAGCGTCCTCTTGCTGCAGGCACAGGCACAGGCACAGGCACAGGCACAGGCACACGCACACGCACACACACACGCACACGCACACGCACACGCGCACGCGCACACACACACACACACACACACACACACACACACACACACACACACACACACACACACACACACACACACACATACACATATACAGATAAAGAGTGAGATGAGACAGGGGAAGATGTGGTTTTTCTATTCATGCACACTATCCTGGTCTCATTCCCAGGGCGTCAAGTAGCAACATTTTGTCACACCCCTTGAAGTCTGATCCCGATTATGAAGGCACCTTTTTATGTTATAATGAGATGCATAGAAAACCTGATGTAGTGATAAAGTTTGTTTAGGAGGGAGTTATTTCAAAGATGTTACTTGACTTTTTTTTTTTTTTTTACCCAAACCACAATCTAACCCTTTACCTAACCTAGTTATTTTGTTTCAATACAGAACAATAACCACTGCTGGTTAGACACATAGGGCTACTCATTATATTAAAATTTGAACCCAAGGAGTACTGACCAAGTGTTTGTATGTGACTAGTTGAGAATTAGAATGGGTTGTTCACACCAAAAGACATAAATCAGTCTGCATGCGTGTGCTGTGTTACCTGCGCCCTCTCTTCATCCAATTCCAGGTATCCCATCCCATCCAGTCTCTGTAGGTCAATCCAGCCTCTCCAGGTCACACACACCCCGTTCAAAATCATGGGAGCCTTTAAATAGACCTGGATGGAGAGAGAGTGAGAGAGAGAGATTAATGCCAAAAGCAGATATATTTTTTATTTTTTATGCAACATCACTGCAGCACTGACCTGCTTTGATTTAAAATGTGTCCAGTTTTTGTTATTTATAAGGTGTTAATATGGCAAAAAGTGACATCTAGAATGTACCAAAAGACATAGATCTGACGCTGTCCAGAACTATATAACATTTAATTTGGCAAGCAATACCTTTCCAATAAAATAACAGGTTAAAATGAAAATTGAGAATCTTAAAAAGCTCTTTGCTCCCGGGATGGAAGCCATCCCAACCTCGCTATTAGTGCTGTGAAAAAGGAAAAACCACCAACTACGTCAACACCTCTCCAGTACAATTGAGTGTTAGACTTCTAAATCACTGACAGACACACACACTTTGACATTCATGTACATGTGCCCATGTGCACAACCCATGTAGGTAAGTGCGTTTTCGTAAGGGAGTGCAACCATACATGTGTAAAATGTATGTCATTGTGCTTGCTGCTGCAGGATGTCAGTCCAGTGTTTTGGGCTAATAGGCATTTTGTATTGGACTAAATACACAAAAAGTGGTCAAAAATAAATATCATGTGCCTAATAAACATCTTTATCATTTGTATTTGAGTGTGTGTGTGTGTGTGTGTGTGTGTGTGTGTGTGTGTGTGTGTGTGTGTGTGTGTGTGTGTGTGTGTGTGTGTGTGTGTGTTTTATTTTAAAATGGCCATTGCAATCTATGACTTTTTCACAGACTGCCAGCTAAAATACGACTTTGTGGTATCTAATCCTTGGTAATAACTTAATTTGTTTCCTGAAAATAAATGTGATGCTGTTTTGATGTTCATGTGACTTCAGTTCAATCCGATATATCCAAACAAAGTGCAAAACAACATTTCAGCAGGCTCTCAACAGGTAATTTCCTCGGTTTTGTCAGACCGTGTGAGTTTATGTTTTGCCTGTTTGTGAGAGGGAGAGCAGAACAGTTGGACAATGAGCAGTGATAAAAAGAGTTATCCATTTTAATCCTTTTCTGTTATTCATGTACAGCACAGTTAGCCCATCAACAGTGTCAGACAGACAGAGGAGGCACAGACTTGGTCTCTTTCTCCACTCCTGATTATATAACATGGCTATGGCTCTATTCTAGAAGGGCAGCAATGTAACGAGAACATTATGTAAGTGTGGCCGAATCTGTGTATGTTCATGAGATGAGGAAATGTACACATATGATCACAGAACCATTTATCTTAGTACATTTGAGCTGCAGCAGTGTAGATTACTCTAAACTAATATAAACAATTCTAATGAAAAATAAAGTCACAACACAGAGTTAGTTAAAGGTAAGTAAGTAGGTCATTTTGGAGAAACCAGCTTGAGTGCGCTAAAATGTGAAAATACACAGCCGGAAAAAATCTGCCACTTCCTTATAGAGCCCCTCCTCCAACACACACCAACGCGCAAATGACCAATGAGGGCACGAGAAAAGTTTGTGCACAGATGGAAGGCTGACAGGCAGGTAGGCCATCCAGTTATTTTAGCCGCGGGCCGACTCAGATGATTGGTCGTGCTTTTTACAGTAGTACGGCTTCCACAGATTACATTTTTTATGGATTTTTTGTCAAAGCACTTCAGATATTCATTGCTATCGGGATGTTAAGAGCATTCCATGGAATATAACAAAAAGTGTATCTCGAGCCGGTTCCTCAAACTTACCTACCCAACCTTTAACTAGCTATTCAAGTAATCATTAGTAATGAGCATTTAGCAGCTTACAAGCTAGACATTTATCTGCCAAAAGTTGGTTGAGACCAAAGCAGAGCTAAAAGACGAGTTGCCAGAAACATAAGCATCATCAAAACGACGCTTATGTTTGTGAGCAAAAAAATGAAACAGATTTACCGAAGCAATGCTTTGATTAGCCTTTCAAAAAGAGCTGTATAAACGAGTCTCTCAACCTAAAATATTATCAAAACCTTGCTTAAGTGTGACACAGTTGCTGTCTTAAATTCCTTACTTTTTCTTCCTCTTTCCCACGATACACTGATTTCCATGGGGAAGAGACAACACACAGTGAGAGGCAAGGAAACACACTAAGACTATTTTTCCCAGGGTAGAAAGTTATAGGTGGTATTTTTAACTGAGTAAATAAATATTTAGGAATTCATTTAAAAAATGAAACACTACCTTCAAAAAGGGGACACACCCAGTTAAATGGATTCGTCTGTGTAACACTGGGCAAACTTCATGTTCCTACATTTTTATTCAGGCTATTTTTGGACAGCCTTGCATAGGGACTTCTTTTACCGCAGCTACCCACACTGCACCGGGGTTCCAGGGGAGACTGCACTCCAAGAGACTGTGGGTTTTTTGTGTTTATTCGAGTGAATGTATGTGTGTGTGTGTGTGTGTGTGTGTGTGTGTGTGTGTGTGTGTGTGTGTGTGTGTGCGTGCGTGCGTGCGTGCGTGTGTGTGTGTGACAGAGAGAGATGTGTAAGGGAAAGATGGCTTCTACATCTGTGGGGCTGCATGTTGCTTTTAAAGGAAACTCCATTTGGCTTGACAGGCAAAGTGTGTGTGTGTGTGTGTGTGTGTGTGTGTGTGTGTGTGTGTGTGTGTGTGTGTGTGTGTGTGTGTGTGTGTGTGTGTGTGTGTGGGGAAACGGCCCAACCACAGACTTCCTCTGAGAGAGAACCATGTCAAACCCCCACATCCATTTACCAACACACACTCACACGAAGACAGAAGAACTCTCACACACTACAGCACACTGTGAATAAGAAAGATAGAGAATGAAATTCAGTGGAAATTATACTTTTTAAAACCAAGAGCAAGTTTTGTAAAGCTCTAGGTGTCAGAGACCATGTGGGAAAACGTGTGTTGTTCTACTGATTTGTATTTACCTGTAGTAATTCTGTTGAGAAGATTTCTAAATTAAAGTTAAGAACATCTTGACAATAGTATAAACTGCCCTGTTAATGTATCATGTTAGCTTTATCTAAAATGCAGATTACAATTCTAACCTTTTGCAGATAAATGTGAACATAAAAACATTTGATAATCCAATGAAATGTTATAATGAACGGTTAAACTTTCTTCTGATAATTGTAAATGTAAATTTCACATTTGTTGCCCTGCGTTCTTCTTTAGATTCAGTTTTGCTCACTAAATGCATCATGTGTTTCCATGAGCTCTAACAAATGTGCCAAATTCATTTCCTTCATCATTTGAGTAGCTGTTATTTTTGTACTTTAAATCCATCCATCAAATCCATGATTAGGATCCAATGATTCTGGTGTGTCCTCTCTCTGTGCATGTGTATACTCTAAAAACACAATAAGGACCCACTTATAGTCAAAAAGAAGAGGTCACTTAATAGTTTAAAGGTGATAGCCTGAAACACTTAATAACGGTTTTACTATTATTTGTGTACCTGTTCTTACAGACATGCATGCACTGGGCTCTTACGTCATCCAGTCCTGTGAGTGTGAACCTGAACATTTAGATCACATCTCCGTTGACAGTATTCTGCAGTCAACATGACGTGATGAGCATATTGCAAAGCATCAAAACTTAAATGTAGGTGATTTTAGTGCTCAAACTAAGGCTGAAGGACTTTATTGTTCAACATAATTTACCTCAAGTCATTTGTAGTGTAGAGTCAAAGGATGAAGTTCCAAATACACAACATAATGTCATCTTTCTTTTTGGTTGAGCAAAGACTTCCTTCTGCAATCAGTGAGTACTGTAGCTGCAGTCTCGTGATTCAATGCAGACAATTTTTTTCCCTGTGAATTCTGAGCACAAACGGGCCTCATAAACCAATTGTTTATAAGAAGAAACGTATTCTTAACAGCGACATGGACCATTTTTACAAGTGACTGATGTCTTTTCGGATATATTCTTAGGTTAGAGGTTCTTACAACAGAATCTACGTTCACTCAAGAGCACACTTTTGTAGGCTGACGTAACACTTTAACATTGATTCAGTGAAAGCATCCCATACCTATGTCCATGCACTACTGACAATATGTCATATGAATCTTGTTTGGCATTCACTTCTCCATCCTCTTGCGACTTCTGTTTGAACATTTCAATTTCTGTGTGCACACTGCCCTGCAGTTGAAAGCCTTTATATTTGGGTTGGTGGGGTGTCTACCTGCTAACAAGGATCTGGCACACTTTTCAATGGGCTTCATCATCGAACAATCTGTCATGACTCTGAAATAGACTTTTCTGAGAAGATATTATGGATAAGGCCCAATTTTGTATTTCTTCCACTTTAAACCAAAACCTCTGCCGGGCAAAGATGTGAACTTAGGCCGTACACCAACCTATTCCTTTTGATCTAGACTCCTCCAAGTTACTGTAAGTACTTCCTACTGTGTGTGTGTGTGTGTGTGTGTGTGTGTGTGTGTGTGTGTGTGTGTGTGTGTGTGTGTGTGTGTGTGTGTGTGTGTGTGTGTGTGTGTGTGTGTGTGTGTGAAGCAGTGGGCAATTGTGCTGACTAGATGGTTGGCATCAGGCTGAATGAGACACAGTATGCCAACACATCCCGCTACATCTGCGTCACGCACTGACTACCAACACACTTTCTGATGCACACACACCCTACACACCACACACGCACACACAAATACACACACACACACACAGCAATGCCCACGAGGTGTGCGAACACAATGGGCTACTGTGTTTTCAGCCTCGTGAGTTGTGGCAGTCTGTCTCTCTCACACACACATGCAAGCGCAAACAGTCACACACTGATAAACACATTCAAATAAACAACAGCACAATGTATTACCAGCACCATTATGTCTATACTGTATGTGTGTGTGCGAGTGTGTTTGCACATTTAGAATAAGAATCTGTGTGTATGTGTGGGTTATTCACACAATAAACAGCTGTCTGAGTCAGCAGCCAGCACAGGCAACTCAGGCTCTCTACTTTTTCTTTCTTTCTTCCTCACTATCCTTCCATGTGTCTTATC